ATTCTAACCCGTTGCCTAATGACACTGTTGCTAAGTGCTGTCAAGTTGGTACTGACTCATAGCAACCCTGTATAGGGTTTCCAAGGAGTGGCTGGTTAGTGGGTTTGAACCACTGACCTTGCAAGTAGCAGTCCAGTGCTTATCCTATAGCACTATACCAGGACACCAGAGACACTAACAGACTAAAATAGGCAGACGAAAAATAGACTCATTGTCCTCATATACCTAATGCCCAGGTTCTTACTGTCCTATCTCCCAGCCCATCTGCTAAGCTAGATGCTACATTTCAATCCCTGCCAGATTCCTGATGCCCATCTCCATGGTTATACTTTGTGGCCGGAGCAGGGTCCCCCACAAATGGTCCAGCCGGATGGGCCTGGGGTCCAAAACACTGATTTTCTTCTCTATGTGCGGGTTGCCCATACTTCCAAGTGCCACCAAGAGGTGAGATTTAAAGCAAATGATTTTCCCCTGTTCTGCCTCTCTTAATCCTAAATGTCATGGTGAGAAATAGAAATAAACTGCATAGAAATAAGTTTATTATTTATATATTATTATTAAATTGTACTTATTTGGGGTAAGTTGGAACATGCTGATAAAGTTTGGTGGGAGGTTAATAAAACACCCGTGCCATCCCTGAAGAGCCCCAGGGTACACTGGGTCTCTATTTTCAATAAGATTTCATCTGTTACCCCACTATGCCCGTTTCCACCACTACCTGTCCTGCCCTATTTACAGCCCTCTGTAATAGCTTATGCTGCCTGCTGCCAGCTGGATTCAGAAGACAGGCCTATTGCTGGTACCATAGTCTACTGTGCCCAACATCTCACCAGTCCCAGCCTCAGTTATGGTGACATTGTTATGGTGATTGCTGCATGATGAACATATATTAAGTATTATACACAAACAGGTTTGGAGCAGGGGAGGTAACTAAACTTTCTATGAAGTAGAAGAACCCATTGAAGATGGGATAGAAGGTATCTCAAAATCTAAGAGCTGATTTGGCAGAGATTGGTCAGTCCTGCTGCTACTCTTGTCCGATTACTGTTTGTCCTTAGGCCACACTACATGAACTGTTCCATACCCTGGGTTTCTCTGGACACCTTTTCAAGATGTGGAAGGATTGCCCTTTAGGACCCAGTGGTGAGAGGAATGAGGGAGGGCCTTCCCATATCAACCAGAGGGAATCACTATTTCATGAACTGTTCCGATTGTCTCTCACCCTTCCTAAGTTTCCTTCTCCTATTACCTTCTTCTATTTCTATATTCAGTGAGAGAGAACTGTTATACAAGGGCACAAGTGACAAGGAGAGACAAGTGGGGACAGCTGTTTCTTACCACCCCAACTGTTAGCCACAGCCTGGCCAAACACTTGGGAGTGCTAGGAGTTTCACTGGGTGCTCCCTTGGAAGAAGAGGTGAGAATGAGATTATGTTGTGATATTGGAAGAAAGAAGGGAGTAGCTAGGTAGCAACCAGATGTCTGCCAACTTCTTCAGTAGGGCCCTTTGTCCTCACACTGGGAAGCCAGACTGCTTCAGGGCTCTATAATGACTGCTACCTTTGATGGTGCCCAGCGTACTCAACTTGACCCAATCACTCTTGCTGCCTTCCAAGACTCAGGCTGGTACCAAGTCAACTACAGTGCTGCACAGGAGCTGGTATGGGGCCAAGGTGAGGAATAAAGGAAGAGAGTTGCAGAAGGGCACTCATGACCCAAGTAAGATCAGGGGAAACTGGGGGAAGTTGAAAGGGATTATTGTTGGGGACTTTGAACCCAGAGAGGGAGAGGGGCTGTGTGTTGACGACCAAGGGGCAGGCTTGCAGGGTATACTCTCTGGTTGGTTGACGATGTATGGAGGGGATTGTAACCATGGCAAGGTAACGTTAATATGATAGGACGAATGCGAAGCTAATATTCTCCCATGTAAACTATCATATAATTCACAATAAAGCATTAAAAAAAAAAAAAGATAAACGAGGGAAAAGATTTAAAAGAAAAAAAGGATTATTGGATGCAGGCTGCTATTGGGCAATTGAAGCTGTAAGCATAGCTGATACTCAAGTGATGGTTGAGATTTATTTGTTCTGAAGACTCTCTCTCTCTCTTAAGCAGGATCTGGCCTGGAATTTGGCTTGTTGACCACATGTGAAACTGACTCAAACTTCTTCTGTACTGGCAGGTTTGTGTGTTGTTTGAGGGTCAGTACGGCTGTCAGAGATATTAGTGTCACTCTATCATCTCTTCCACACAGTGGGCTGGGCTGCCACTATCTACACCTAGACAAGGGACACTGTTCCTCAGACCCCATGCTGGAAGGTTGCCGTATGTACAAGCCTTTAGTCAATAGGGTGAGTAGATTAGACAGCAGAAAATAAACCTGAGTGGCCTAGAGAAGAGTCAATTTCTAAAGCATCTACCTTCTACTCTCCCCTGCCCTTCAGAGTGAATGCTGGAAAAAGGAAAACGGATTCCCACCTGGGGCACAGAATCCACATGGGGAAATCTACCATTCCCAGAGTCGCTGCTTCCTTGCCAACCTCACTTCACAAAGATTCCCTAAGGACAAGGCCGTGCATCCCTCTCAGATCCTATCCCTCAAAGAAGAGGAAGAGCTCATGGGTCGCTGCTACTTACATCAATGTACAGAGAGGGGAGCATACAAGGTGCAGGTGGAGGGATCACCCTGGGTCTCATGCCTTCCAGGAAAGGCTATTCAGGTGTGTACTTTAAGTGGGATAGCTGTGGCACATTTGTAGAAAGAATTTCGATGTTCATTCATTTTTCACCAAGTATCAACTAAGTCCATGACCCTGACCTAGATAATACATTTGCTTAAGCAATAAATTAAGGAAGGTTATAATTATACCAAGCACTTCTGATGTGATGCTCTGCATCAGTACTGGACTTTGAACAAGGTTGGCAGATCAAACCCACCAGCTGCTCCTGGAAACCCTATACAGGGTCACTACGTCAGAACCGACTTGACAGCACTTAACAACAAACATAATGGTACCATGCTACATACTTCCTTGCAGATACCTGGATACTATGGTCTTCTTTTCTGTCCCCGGGGTCGTCTGTGTCAGACTAATGAAGGTGCCAATGTTACTCTTCCATTGATGATTCTTTCAACCCAAGACGTGCTATTGCAGTTCACTTTAGGATTAGCTGCCCCCCGAGACCACTCCCTGGGGAAGGAACATCGAGCAGAGCTGACAGAAGTAGTACTGCAGGCTCTGGTGAACAGAGGCGGCACTGGCAGGTAAAGGGATGGTTCAGGATGAGTATGAGTGAGGACAAATGCTAAAGTCTTTATTTCCTATCCCTCCTCTTTAGTCTTTCTGTTCATCCCTCTCCTGAACCTGCATGTTTCATGAGACATTCTTTTCCAGACTAAAGATCCAAATGTCCATTTAGGTGCTATTACCACAGTCCATCAATTACTGCTGATCTCGTGTTCACTGTGCATATGTGGAAGTCTCCTGGCTGCCAAGGGCCTTTAGTTGGTATGCTACACAGGAACTTGACCTTGAGTCTCCAAGAGAAGCCTCTACAAGTATATTATGGAGGAGTCAGCTTTACCACACAATACAAGTAAGTTAACAAAGTATTTCAGGCAACTGGTGAGACTAAAATGATCACTTAGGAGAATCACTGTCCATGCTGCTCCCCTCTTCCCTGCCAATAATGGTGTTTCCTCATCTCTAGGATGAAAGGATGCTAGAGTCCCCTTCTTTTACTAAGCACTACCCAAGCATCTTGTCTAGTTACCAGTTTTGACTCTTCCTTTAAGTTACTTTCTTCATTGCCAAATTAAATCTGTTTCTCAAATTTAAGTTGCTGAATTAATGACCTGGATTTTGGCTGCATTCTTACTTTCAGGTTCTATATTCCCCCTTGTATTTCCTGTTTAGATTAATATTCGTGTGGATAACAGTTTCATGAATTTTATATAGTAAAAGTAAAGACAGTCACTGCCTAAGCCAATGCACTATTTTAGACCAATTATCTTCCACATTCTTAGGTTGCTGGCTACCTCGGACCCTAATCATTCCATGACCCATGTAGGTGTGTCTATGGGACTTTGCCTAATGCTGCTCATCCTGATGGGTACACTGGGAACTATAGCCTATCAGAAACGAGCTACCTTTCAGGTGGTACCATTTGCTCCTTATCATTCACCAGCACTTCAAGGCACAAGTGGTCCAGTTGGAGGAATAAGGGGGGTATGATGATACCCCGAACATGAGAGGAGTAGGGTAGAGGTTTATTTCTTGGAAAACAACTTAGTGAAAAGTCTATCTAGTATCTAGACTTGTTTTACTTTCTCACAATGCCTTTCTCAAGAAAAAAAAGACTTATGAGTCTGAGTATCTGTTGTTTATTTTGACATAAAAAATAAACTCTCCAACCTATAAAGAGTCACTTATTTTTACATTATTGTAAAATTACAAATAAAAACACCTGCTAACAGTTCCAAAGATATCACATACACTTTGGGAAAAAAACAAACACATTTGCTATTTGGATTCAATGGAAGAGAGAATAACCAACTATCTCTCTGATTGTCCCTAACTTTACTAAATCATCACTGGGAAAGTTAGCAGTGAGGATGTCACATAGTTATAACAGGAGGGTTCTACTTTATAACCCTCATGAGCTAGTAGTAGGACAAACTTGAATTACATTTTGGTTCCTTTTGGATATAGTTGCAAAAGGAGCCATCAAATTCTTAGGGGCTTGATGTCTCTCAGAAAGAAGCAAGCTAGGAGGGAGACTGATGATTGTGTTTACTTAGGTGAAAAACATTGACACTGACATTAGGAATGCAGTTGATATGCTACTGTTAACACGACATATCTGTGCTGTCATCGAGTTCAGTCAGCTGATCAGGTTACTATCTCTAGATCTTTGAGTGGCATATCTGAATTGAGGTCTCACGGTAAAATTGTATCTTAAACTCCAGTTCTAGTTGTCTTCTTTGGTTTTAATGTTTATTAGTCCTTACCAGCTGTAGCAGCCACAGCTTGGTAAAACTTTGCCACGAAGTCTGGCTCACTGACCTCCAGCAGTCTGACAAATTCATTGCGCTCCTGCTCGGCCCAACCTCGAAACCACTGATCCCAAAGTCGTAGCTGGCACTCAAAGATACAAGGTGGTCGGCTTGCCCCAGACACAGTAAGCTGCTCCAGACCATGTAGTAGTGGCTGTAATTTTCCTGGCACTGCCTTAGCCACCAGGTCCTGTAAGAAACGTTCCCGCTGGGGACCTGACCAACTTGCAAACCAATGTAGAATACACTTCATCTCCTGGGATGTAATGTAAGACATTGGAGGAGGGGAAGCATTAGTAATCGTGTCTGGCACTGAGGGTAAAGGAGAAGGCAAGGATAGTGGTATTGAAGATGATGATTTCAGTGGCATCCTGAAATGAAAAAAGCAGTGTTATAGACTCTCTGGATAAAGCAAAAAAAAGACAACTCTTCAACAACAGGCAGGAGCTGAATCTAGCTCAATAATTAGCATTTATATAGAAAATTACTTTTCACCAATTCAATTTACAGGAAAACAACAGATTATCAACTTCCTTAGAGGAATCACCATAGAATAACAATTTTATATTTGCCAACCTTCCCCTCTCTCTCAAATCTACTACCCTCCCCAGCCAACGCCTCCATCTTTCTTATAAAGACTCTAAAAACTGTCAGTGTCTGGCTCATTCTTTCCCTCCTATTTATACCATACTTCAGAATGGGTAAATGACACCCCCCCCCATGGCAAAAAAAAAGACCCAACAATGACTAGTGGTGTCCCCAAATGTTGCTAAGTGCAGTTGAGTTGGTTGAGACTCATAACAACCCTGTATAGGGTTTCCAAGAACAGCTGGTGGGTTTGAACTGCTGACCTTGTGGTTCACAGTCTACCACTGATCCTACAGTGCCACATCAGAAAAAAAGCACACAGGTTTTAATCTAGTTTAAGCAGTTAATCCAGGCCTATATTCTAATCATTATGGAGCTATAGACAGTGAAAAAGGAAAAAAACACCATGTATGATGAAAGAGCTTTCTTTGCTTTGTGCATTGTTATCATCTGCTGTTGACCCAGTTAGAGAGACTCCTGACAATCCAAAGGGATTGGACTGCTGTAATCCACAGGGTTTCTACTGCCTTGATTTTTTTGGAAGCAGAACTCCATACTGTTGTACATGTATGACAATTCATGTTACTGAAAATCTTCCTTAGTGTTTAGAATAGTATCTACTGATCCCCTCTGATTGATCTTACATCATTAATGCAACTGGAGTCCTAGTGTGGCATTGTAGGTTAAGTATTGGACTATTGGCCCTTCAAACCCACCAACCACTTGTTGTTAGATGAGTTGGTTATGACTCATCTTATGTACAACAAAATGAAACACTACCTGGTCCTGACCCATCCTCACAGTCATTATGCTTGAACCATTGCTGCTGCCACAGTGCTAATCCATTTCATTGGGGTTCTTTCTCTTTTTCACTGACCCTCCACTTTACCAAGCATGATGGCCTCCAGGAACTGGTCCCTCTTGGTAATATCATCTGAAGAATGAGATAAAGGCTCTCCATCCTGGTATATTTCTTCCAACAAAGACTTATTTATTCTTCTGATAGTCTATAATTCTTTTAATTCTTCAATACCTCAACTAAAATACATCAATTCTATGATCTTCATTAGTCACTATCTAACTTTCACATACTTACGAAGCATTTGAAACTACCATGGCTTGGGTCAGGTCTACCTTAGTTCTCAAACTGTTATCTTTACGCTCAAACACTTTAAGAAGATCTTGTGCAGCAGATATGCCTAATGCAATATGTCATTTGATTTCTTGACTGCTGCTTCCTTGAGTTGACTGTGGATCTGAACAAAATGAAGTCTGTGACAACTTCAATCTTTTCTCCATTTTTCAAGATGTTATGTACTGGTCCAATGGTGAGGATTTTTGTTTTCTTGACATTGAGGTGCAATCCATACTGAAAACTGTGGTCTTTCATCTTCATTAGTATTTTAAGACCTCTTCACTTTCAGGAGGCAAAATGGTATCATCTCCATATCACAGGTTGTTAATGTTCCTCCATTTTTCATGCTATGTTCTTCTTCATATAATCCTTGGGTTATCTGCTCAGCATTCAAGATTGAATAAATATGTCATAACAATACAACCCTGACATAACACCTTTCCTGATTTCAAACCATTCAGTGTCTCCTTGTTCTATTGAAATTGCATCTTGGTGTATGTACAGATACCCCATAAGCACAAGTAAGTATTCTGGAATACTCATTTTTTACAATGTTATCTATAGCTTGTCATGATCCATTCAGTAAAAAAAAAATCTTTGCAGTCAATAAAGCACAGGTAAACATCTTTCTGGTATTCTGATTTTAGCCAAGATTCACCTGATGTCAGCAATGACATTCCTTGTTCCCCATCCTTCCATCCTCTGGCAGCAGTTCCCTTGTCAATGTACTGTCGCAGTTGTTTTTGAATTATCTTTAGCAAAATTTTACGTGTATGTGATAGATATTGTCCTATGATTTCCACACTCCGTTGGGTCACCTCTCTTTGGAATGGCTACTAATAGGGATCTCTTCCAAACAGCTGACCAGGTGCTGTCTTGCAAAGTTCTTGGCATAGATGAGTGGGTACCTCCAGTGCTACATCAGTTTGTTGAAAGATTTAAATTTGTATTTTATCAACTCCCAGAGTCCTGTTCTTTGCTAATGTTTTCAGTGCACCTTCCACTTCTTCCTTCAGCAACACTGGCTCTTAATCATTCGCTATCTCTTGAAATGGTTGAACACTGATCATTTCTTTTTGGTACAGTGACTATGTATTCCTTCCATCTTCTTTTGACGTTTTCGGCATTATTCAACATTTTGCCCACTGTTATTTGTTAAGGCTACTGAGTCAGTTACAATTCTAGTCAGTTACAATAGCAATCCTATGGTTGGGTTTGCAAGGAGCCGCTGGTGAGTTTGAACCACCAACCTTGTGGTTTAACCCAGTGCCCTACAAGTAGAGGTTTTAATTTTTTTTTCAATTCTTTCAGCTTGAGAAATGCTGAATGTGTTCTTCCCTTTTGATTTTCTAACTCTAAGTACTTGCACATTTCATTATAATACTGTGTCTTCTTGATGATGTCCTTTGAAATTTTCTGTTCAGCTTTTAACCTACTCATTTCCTCTATTTGCTTTAGCTTGTCTACACTAGAGAACAAATTTCAGAGTCTCTTTTGACATCCATTTTGGTCTTTCCCTTCTTTCTTCTTAATGACCTTTTGCTTTCTTCCTGTATGATGTTCTTGATGACATCCCACAACTCTCTGATTTTCCATCACTAGGGTCTAATGCATCAACTCTGTTCTTGAGATGATCTCTAAATTTAGGTGGGATATGTTCAAGGTCATTATTTTGGCTCTCATCGTCTTGTTTAAATTTTCTTCAACTTCAGCCTGAACTTGCATGGAAAGTTGTTATTCCTTGGAAACTCTATAAAGGGTCCCTATGAGTAGGTACCAACTCAATGGCACTTAACAATGCAACTGGAAAATAAGCCAACACAGAACATTTTCAGGTCTCAGAGTTTGAATCTCTTAACAATGAAAACCTGAAACTACTTGTGTATGACCTATTTTATTGTTTGTTTCTTCTGTTGAAAACTGAATGATTTGTAGCACAAAGAAAAAAAAAAGGCACACATTTTTAAAATCTAGCTCAAAGAAGTTGATTCAGGCCTATATGCTAATAGTTCTGGAACTTTCAACTGTGAAAAAGAATTGACATCAGTACTAAATCTGGGGTGGCAGTGGGGGTGGGATGATCTTTTTCACAACGTCTCTGTAAGAAGCAGTCCCTCTTAAAGGAACTTACTATTTAGGGAAAGGGTGCACTTGGCACGGCTTCAAGGACAAAACTCAAATTCAGTGTCATTTACTTAAATTCCAAATTAGTTACCTCGTTTTCTTCTGCTTCTGCCCACCTTGTAAACATCTGGGTAACCCCGGTTAGTTTAATGCCCTGGTGCACAAGTGTTTTGGCCCGTTAAGGACGTCGACAATGAGGCTTGCATTCGTATTACGTTAGCTAATGTAAAGAAAAAAACCTAAAATTTGGCTGAGAATCAAACACATTGGTCTAAAGACGCGGTGCTGCCACCTGACCACTTTAGACGGAAAAGGACCCAGCATTTTGAGGTTCCCAAAGAGCAACGTAGCCTTACAGGGGAGTGGCGAAGACTCGGTTATGAGGGTGGCATGCTAATGGTGATCTGCAAATTCCGTGCCAGACCCGGCCCAGGTTGGGGCTCCTACCCGACTTACCTCCTTTTCTTCTTTTAGAGTGTACCCGAACACCGTCACAAGAGTCCCTGAACTCCGAGTACCGCCGCCGCTTCCATATTTCCTGAAAAACCTAAGCAGGGCCAGCTAGGCAGCCCACGTACTTCCGGTCTCGGAACAGCCCAGAAACCCAAGCGCCTCAGCGCCGCAGCCCCAGGACCGGAGATAGCCGATTAAATCCGATTTTGGTTATGCCAGAGTCGAGGGCTTCCGAATAGATTCGGTTCAAAGTCCCGGTAAGACGAAGATAACCGAACTCTGAAAACAGGATGGGGGGGGAAGTTGCGTGAGACGATAGAAAGAACCGATTGGTGCCGATGTGGAGACGGAAGCACCCGAACAGCTTCGGAGGAACCCGGGGAGTTCTGAGTGGTAATCGAGGGGTTGACTATGGCAGTGGGCGGGGTCAGCTGGGTACGTTCAAAGGGCGTTGGCGGAAATTACCGAAGATGCCCGAAGCCGTCGGGACGGGACCCGAGTACCTCACGCAAGATGGCGGAACTGGAGGAGGTGACTCTGGACGGGAAGCCTCTTCAGGCGCTGCGGGTGACCGACCTGAAGGCCGCACTGGAGCAGCGAGGCCTAGCCAAGAGCGGGCAGAAGAGTACCCTGGTCAAGCGGCTCAAAGGGGTGAGGAGACGGCTCAAAGGGGTGTCGGAGGGAAGCGGACCCGGTAGAGACGAGTCTCTGCCGCGGCGCAGGCGCAGTGTCCGGGCTCGGCGCGAGCTCGCTCAGGCCGCCAGCGCGAGCCTAGAGATCCGCGCGCACGGTGGTTGGTGAGGCTCGAGCTGGAATAGAGATCGCGCCGGTTCCCGCCTTAACGGCAGCGGCGCGAGTCCAAATGGGAGGGTGCGCACTACTCTCCCGGAGTGTCTTAACCTCCTTCCCCCACCCCCTCCTTGTTTGTGTCTGTGGTTTCGGCGCATGCGCTGCAGAAGGAGTTAAATCCCACTACAACCACCGGCGTTGTTGGCCTGAGGGGGGCGAGTTGGGCTGGGTCGAAATTGGGGTAGAATTGGGAGGAGGGTTAATGGGGTTGATAGCCGCATCCGGAAGAATAGGATTAGGATAGAGTAAAATGTCTGCTTGATTAGATTAGGAGGTGAGATGAAGATAAACCTTCGTTTGAACGGACTTTTACAAGAGTTGTGTATAATATATAGGGGATCCACAAGCAATTTGAGTGGAAAAGAGTTTGGTAAGAGAGGTGAGGCAGTTTGGTATATGTTGGGGGTTTGGAATCTGATTGAGTAGATTTAGGGTGGGGTTGACATAAGGTAGATGGATTGGTGTGTATAGGTTTGGTGTAAACTAAAGAAAGATGAGACTGTCTTCGTTTTCATTAGGATATGTGGCAGGTAGTACAGATCTGGGCTAGGCTGGCCCAAGAATTCACTGACATATCATTGCTTAATACAGAGGCAGGAGGTTTTTTGTTTGTTTTGTTTTCCTTTTTGGAGGGTGGCTTGAGTCAGACCACAGTTTGCAGGGTTTGTGATCAGTTTATCTGCAGCCTCCTTTGAATTTTTAAAATATATTTGATAGAGGTGACACTCTGCAAAAACTCTACAAGTTCTCTCATGTAGATGTTGATTAGGTCATTTGTTTGACCAAATAATTCAATCAAACCAAAACCAGCATCTCCATATTGACATCATCATCTGTTTGAAGTTGACTTAAATATTTGAAGTGATTCTTCTCACCCATTCAAACTTAGAAGGGTCCTAGTCAAACGTTCAGAGATATAGGGATTCTAGTACTGGTTCTGTCACTGATTTTATGACATAGCCAGATTACTGATTCTCTGCCTGCATTTTTCATCAGTGCATTTGGGAGCAGTAACCATGGCTACCTTGAAGGGTCTTCTCAGCATGAAGGAGAACAATGTTAGTAAAGGGCTTTGAGGACCCTGGAAAAGACAGTTTAAGTGTGTATAGTGGTTAGTCACTGCATTTGATGAAGAGGCTCAGGGAGAAGTGGTTTGGTTTGTTGTTGTTTTCCTTGATACCTGACATTTGCCCTTCTCTACACCAGGCTCTAATGCTAGAAAATTTACAGAAACATTCAACACCCCATGCTGCATTCCAGCCAAATTCCCAGGTAAGGATAAAGGTTTGTTAGATGAGCTGGGCTGTTTGGGTGTGCAAACACATTAAAAAACATGGTGTTTTATTTAATGTTAAATTCTTTACCAGGATTTTTCTTAGTTACCTTCATCTAGAATGTTCTTATATCAGAATTGTTGTATTTCATTCAAGCCCGTTTGTACATAAGGGCATCTAGAAAAGAACAGAATTAGAGGTACTATTAGTTTATTTCTGACACTTGAAATGATGTGTGCAGAAAGGTGTCTTCAATTGATGAAGTATAGTACAGAATCTAGTCATTTCTTTGCCATTGATAGGAAAAGTCTTTGAATATAAATATGAAGTATACAATTAGTAGAGCACTGTGAGAAAATACTTGCTGATCAAGAAATCTTTTTGTAGACAGGTTTTCTAAGAATTCAACCCTTTGTGTATCACCCACCTTTAGTGGCATTAACAAATTTTGTAATTACCTTTTTTTTTTTGCAATTACTCTTAAATTTCACAAATTAACTGCTACTTAGAGCAAGAAACTTAACCTTTGAAGGTCTTGGTTTCCTTAGTTTCCTTATCTGTATAAGAGAAAGGCTTGGATTCATAATTTTTTAACTGCCCTGCTGGATTTTACAATGCTGTTTGGGGGACTTTCTAGGATTCATACTCTCCTCTCAAACAAGATTAGATCTATTTTTAATTTCTTAATATGTTAAGCTTCTGAATAAGAGTTTCAAAGAAATCATTTCATAGTTTAAAAAAAAAACAACAAAAAGACTGGGTGACTTTTTAAGGTTCTTTAGCTTTTAAAATTCCCTTATTCAAGTGTTTCATACACTTAAAAGAAATATCCAGGTCTTTGTTAGTGCAATGCAGTGTACAGCTCCAATAATAGAAGTCCCAGGATACTGTGGAAAAACAAGAGAGGCCTTCCTACTCCCTTGATACCACCTTATTAAACTGTAAGTATTAGAGTCCTGGTGTGGCGCTGTGGGTTAATGTGCCAGACTGCAAAGCCGTTTGAACTGCAAGGTTAGCATTTCAAGCTCACCAGCTGCTCCTCGGAAACCCTATACAGCGTCACAATGGGTCGAAACCGACTCGACAGCACATAACAACAACAATGCTATAATCTAGTCAGCCAGCAGAGGTTAGCTAACTATTTTAATAAGCATAAGGTGTTGCATTAATTACATTGATATTGTATTTCTTTTGCCTGATAAGATTTAGTTTTTGAAAGTTTTGTTTTTTTAACATTCAGTGATCTTTGAAGTGAGCACTTAGATTTCTCTAATACATGCACCACACTTTATGAATGTCCATTCAGTACCAAATACTCTACCTTAGGTGAAAATAAACATTTACTGTGCTTAGAAAAGATTACCAGTGATACAGAAAGTATTTACTCAGGTTGTTTTCCTTTTTATACAAGAAAGGCTTGGATTCATAGTTTTTCAACTAATAGGAGTTGCTAAGAGCTCTGGTAGCATAGTAGTTACAAAATGGTCTGCTAATCTCAACGCCAGCAGTTCAAAACTACCAGCTGTTCGTGGAAGAAAGATGAGGCGTTCTGCTCCTGTAAAGGTTTACAGCCTCAGAAACCCAGTACAGGGTCTCTATGAGTTGGAACCAACTCCATAGCACACCAACACCAACAGCAAAAGGAGTTGCTAAACAAGAAGGTTCTCGGTAAGAAAGGTGAAGCAAAAACTAAGGGCAGAAGAATGATGTAGAAATGTTTGTTCAGAAAAGTGTCAAAAGGGATAAGCCACTTGACTTTAAATATCATTTCTAAGGATTTACTCTCACCCAGTTGGAACTACAAATTTGGCTAAGTGCTGAATGGATGTACCTTTTCTTAGTTTCATGATTTCTTTTAAATTCTATACTTCAATTTTGGAGATGTGAACTCTGTCCGTTATTGACAGAATAGTATCCCCTGGATAGGAGATTGATCTTCTGGAGGAAATACTTTTCTTCCCTCCCTCAGTTTTGATACTATTAAAAGAGAAATATATTTTATCTTTAGTTAAAAGGTTTAATTACAGGATTTTTTTTCTTTGAAAGATGTTTACCATTGTCACTTGTTGTGGTTAAGTACTGTGGAGTCGGTTCCGACTTATGGTGACCTTACACAGGGTTTCCTAGGTTGCAAATCTTTATGGGAGCAGAAAGCTTCATCTTTCTCCCGCGGAACAACTGGTAGTTTCGAACTGCCGACCTTGAGGTTAGCAACCTGATTCGTAACCACTACACTACCAGAGCTCCTTCGGAAACTGAATATTTAAAATGAAAAATTATGTGCAATTCCTTTTTGTTGCCATCTTTTGTGAATCATATTATTAAGTCAATTCAATTTCATCAAGTCAATTCTGATTCATAGCAACCCTATACAGGGTTTCGCTGGAGTAGCTGGTGGGTTTGAACTACCAACCTTGTGGTTCACATTCTAGTGCTAACCTACACTACCACACCAGGAGTCCACATCATTCTTTGTGAATCATAGGGCTACATATTTTGACCCTCAATAAAGGAGTACCTTGTGGAGTCCTGGTGTGGTGCTGTGGGTGAATGTGTCAGACTATAAAGTCATTTGAACTGCAAGGTCAGCAGTTCAAGCTCACCATCCACTCCTTGGAAACCCTATACAGAGTTGCTGTGGGTCAGAAACGACTCAACGGCACTCAATAACAACTACAAAAGAGTGCCTTAGAAAAACTCTTCTAGCATTTTATTCATCTTTCTTGGGTCCATATATAAGGGGTAGTAGACTTTTGAAAGCTCAATGGAATTTTCTCCCCTCCATTTTCTTGGTTTGCTTTCTTAGACTTTCTGTTTCCTCTACACAGATTGGTGAGGAAATGAGCCAGAACAGTTTCATAAAGCAGTATCTGGAAAAGCAGCAGGAGCTGCTTAGGCAGCGTCTGGAACGTGAAGCTCGAGAAGCTGCAGAACTTGAAGGTAAGCTCAAATTGTCAGTTCTTACAAGTTCTTCTTTCTTATCTCTTATCCCTGTCTACATATAGATGGGTTTGTCTAATGAGGCAATCTCAGGAATAAGTCAGGCTGAGACTGCTACTTGTTTGCTTTGGTAGTTTATGAACTCAAGTGAGTTACTGTTTACCTTTTGTCAGGAAAGAGGACACTTAATGTAACTGTCTTGTTAGAAGAGGATTCTTCCTGCCAACAAGAAGAGTTTTAAGTAAATTAAGCTGCTGCTATCTAAATGAAGCAGAGCTTAAGCTTAGGGAGTTTTTTCCTGTGTCCACAGTCCTCTTTTTGGTATAAATCTCTCTGTCCATGACTTTGACTTCCTTCACTCGTCTACATAGTCCCACATGCTGAGCCCTTCACTCCCTCCCTGCCCCGACCCAATCTGTACTTTGCAGAAGCTTCAGCTGAGTCGGAGGACGAGATGATCCATCCTGAGGGAGTGGCTTCCCTGCTGCCTCCTGACTTTCAGAGCAGCCTGGAGAGACCAGAGCTGGAGCTCAGCAGACATTCGCCCCGTACGTATCTCCCTCCCCACTGCGCTTTTTGTCAATCCTGCGTAGTTGGTGGGGGGAGGTAGTTATGCCTCCTTTCATGCTAAGCCTCCATGAAAGTCACAGGGAAATTCTGTGATATTGATGTTTGACATCTGTTTTTCATGGACATTTTGACCTTTTAAAGTCTGCCTTCACCTATATGTTGTGTAACTTCTCATCGTGTTTTATGAGGCAGAGTTAGTGATTTTTCTTTTTCCTTCTCATCTGTACTTCTTTAGGTTTCTCTGACTCTGAACTTGGAAATAGTCACAACTCTTTTATCTCTTCACTTATTGTATAATGTGTTGGATATTCAGTCATCCTCCCAAAAATGAGCATTTACCTCATTTTATTAGTTCGTTCAGGAAATTTTATTGAGTGTCTGTTATACTCCAGGCACATGTGAGGCACCAGAAGTATAATAAAGATAAACAAGCCCTGTCCTAATAAAAGAAACTTAGTTTAGTAAACAGCTTGACATTAAACAAACAGTTGTGCTAAGTGCTATTAAGAGGCAGTGCAGAGTATTAGCATATTATAGGGAGTTTTAATCAGGTGTGTGGTTGGTTTAGGCAAGATTAATTTTTCCAAATAAAAAATAATTGTTAAGCACCCAATTTTACATAGTATCTTAAGCCAGAGTCTGAAAGTGCAGCCTTTGTGTTTTAGGAACTACCTGTCTAAGACAGTGTGCTTTCAGGAAAATATGCACCTAGGACATGTGGATGATACGCAGATATTTTAAACCAATATGTGAATTGGTAAGTGCAGTGAAACCTATGAGAATCAGAACTCAACGGCACTGTTTGTTTTTCTGTGTCTTACAAGTTTTCCACCTTTAACAGGGTTCAGTCATAATTATTTTCTGTTGCTCGTCTTAGTGGAAAATATTGTTTGTTTTCCATCTCTGACAGCTTTCTACCTCATTCAGGTTCTGATTTTTGCAGAGATTACTATATTTTGAATCATTTATGAGAGTGGTAGTGGGGTGGAGTCAGTCTATACTTGATATTTTTAGTAAATATATGAAAGTTGCTAGCTCTTGTAATTAACATAGAGCTCTTGTAATTAATAATTTCCTTCACAGAAATTGATTTTTAGGAGATATTTAATGGGAGAAGAAAAATTTCATGAAAGGCTAGGAAAAATGAAGGATGGTTGAAGCTAATTTTAAGCTCCTCGGTTGTTCAGTGCATATTTTTCTTGATCGTAGTCTTAGGCCTCGAGAAAAAATTTGAAGTCTTTTAATAAATTAATACTGGCAAACACTTTGGAATGTTATAAATTCTTTTAGACATCTCTTTTCCCCTCAATTGGTTTGTTGTTGTTGTTGTTGTTAAGTGCCGTCGAGTCGGGTCCGACCCATAGCGACCCTGTACAGGGTTTCTGAGGGTGTAAATCTTTACGGGAGTAGAAAGCCTCATCTTTCTCCCGCGGAGCGGCTGGTAGTTTCGAACTGCTTACACTTTACTAAATGAAAGTTTGCTGGTTTGAACCCACCACTAGTGCTGTGTAAGAAAGACCTGGCAATCTATTTCCATAACGATTATAGCCAAGAAAACCATATGGAACAAAGTTCTATTCTATTAACACATGGGTTTGGCATATGTTAGAATTGATTTGACAATAGAAAGGTTTGATTTTTGGCTTCTCTCAAATACGAGAATTGTTGTTAAGTGTCATCGAGTTGATTCCAACTCATAGTGACCCTGTATAGGGCTTCCAAGGAGCAGCTGGTGAATTTGAACTGCCGACCTTGTGGTTTGTGTAGTAGACATTTAATGGCTCTACTTTACTGCTGTTGTTGTTGAGTGTCATCAAGTCATTTCCAACGCATAGCGATCCTATATAGGATTTCTAAGGCTTTTTCTGTCTTACAGAAGAAAGCCTCATCTTTCTCCTGCAGAGCAGCTGGTGGACTTGAGCCACCAACTTTGTGTCATGCAGTCCAATGCTTTTTCTATGGAGCCACTGAGCTGCTAGTTCTCTTTTTCTCCTCTTGGTAAAGAGGAGGAGAATGTATTCTATAAACTGTTGGGTATTTCTTCTTAAATAAGTCAGAAATACTTACTGATTTCCTGCTGTGTAATGAATCTCTGTGCTAGCATATATGGAAAGTTAGCACTGTAACATTGTAAAGACTATTAGGAAGAGAGAAGACAATTACACACACAAAAAAACAATTAAAGGCATATGATTAACATATTGCTGTTGAGTCAATTCAGACTCATAGCAATGATATAGAACAGTAGAACCGTCCTATAGGGTTTACAAGGTGTGGCACTGTGGGCTAATGCGTCAGACTGCCAAGTCATTTGAACCGCAAGGTGGGTGGTTCAAGCTCACCAGATGCTCCTCGGAAACCCTATATAGGGTCACTATGGGTCTGAATCGACTCAACGGCACTTAACAACAACAAAAATCTCTGTGGAGGCAGATTGCCACTTCTTTGTGGAGCAGCTGTTGAGTTCAAACCAGTGACTCTTCTCATAGCAGCTGAGTACTTAATCGCTGTGCTACCAGAGCTCCTTTTAATATGTAATTGTTATTAAAGTACTGTCGAGCTGGTTTTTATGTGATATAAATGATACAGGTACATGACCACAGTAATTTGAAAGAGTGGAAATTCTTTGAGCACTAGTGATAGAGGAAAGATTTTCAGCTGTGCCTCAAAATGTATAGAATTGGCATTAGAGAGGGTAGAAAAGGATTTTCTTGTGTTTAGGAAAGAAAAGTATATAAAAAGTAAATGTATTTTAGAGGTATGAGGGGGCTTCAGAAAGTTTGTGGAAAAATAGAATGAAAAGATAATGGGCTTTAGACTTTGGGACAGATGACAGTATAGGCAGACTGCTGGGCAGAACCTCTGCAACAAAGACATAGGACACCAAGCGAAACAGATACGGATGGTGATCTTGGAACCCTGAGCTTCAGAGGACTGGACAAATGTGGGCCGAATACCAACTGGAATAGGAAGCTGAACAGGAGCAGTGAGAGCAGAAAAGTAGACAGGCTGTTGGCTGTTCTGGAACAAGATGGTGCAGCCATCTTGAGCTTCTGCAGCAACTGTCAATAACAGCAGCCTGAAGTTATAGGACCTAGCTGGAAATTGGCAGCAAGTGGGGTACAGTTCTCCCTTGTTCCCCACACTCTCCTCCTGGTAGCCGGAGATGTGGCTACCAGTTTCCACCTTTGCCACCCCTGTGGCCAATGGCATCCCCTCCTGCACAGCCTCTGCTCTGCCTGGGGTTGGATCTGGCTTACCACCCTTAACGTCCAGAAGCACATGAACCTGGCCTCTACTACACCATACTAAACAATGAACAGAAACCTACTTTCACACTTCCCAGTCTTATTACATCCACCAGAAGAGAGGTTGTGAGTTACTGAGTGGTGAATGCCTGAGAACACACTGACATACAATCAATTAAATATAAACAAAACAACACGACAATGTCTTAGAAAAACAATTTCAGCTTACACAAAGAAACAAGACGGTGCCTCAAACAAGTGACCAAAATACAGTCAGAAAATATATCAGAAATGGTATCAAAACTACTTGATAAGGAATTTTAAAGAATATTTAGGTTCCTTCAGTGGATCAAGATAATGATTGAGAAAACTGCAGATGAAATCAAATCAAACACAGACTAAACTTTAGAAAAATTCAGGAAAACACAACAAGGACAAAATAAATGCAAAATTGGAAACCATACAAAGCAGCATTTAGAAAACCAGGTTAATACTAAGATATTATATTGAAAAAGCAAAGAAGTAGAATTGAATCAATGAAAGGCCAAATTAGTGAGCTTGAAGACAAATCTCTCAATACTCATATGCTAGAGCAACAATAAAAAAAAAAAAAGAAAAAGAAAAGAAATCTGAAGAAAGCATAAGATTTATGTGGATACTATCAAGAGGAATAGCTTATTTATGATTGGGATTCCACAACAGGAAGTGACCAAAAAAGCCATAGAGAAAAACTGTACAAGAGTTGTTGGAAGACTTTCCTAACATCATGAAAGATGAGTAGATAGCATTCAAGAAACCCATTAAAACATACTATAATCAGATTTTTAAAAACCAAAGACAAGGAAAGAATCCTGAGAGCAGCTCAGGAAAAATGAAAAGTTACCTACAAAGAAGTAATAAGACTAAGCTTGGATTTTTCAGCAGAAACTATATAGGCAAGAAGGCAAATGGGATGATATAGATAAAATTCTGAAAGAAAAGAGCTGTCAACCAAGAATTATATGTCCAGCAAGATTGTCCATCACATATGATGGTGAATTAGGACATTTCCAGATAAACAAATGAAAAGCATTAGTAAAAGTCAAACCGACCTTATAGAAAATACTGAAGAGTGTTCTTTGGATAAAGAACCAAAAAGATCAGGCAACAACCTGAGATTAACAATATTGCCAAGAACTCAACCTAGATGTAGAAGTATTCAAAGTAAAACAAACCTTTTAAGACTGAAAATATGGAACCAGAGATACCAATCTGCAACAACAACAACAAAAAGTTAAGAAGAAATAGCATAGTTGCAGAACTTTCAAATGAAGTGGGTATCGAGTAGATTTCAAGGGGAAAAAAATCTAACTACAACCCTAAAAGTAGATAAAGGTTTACTCTTAGGCCTAGTCTAGACCTAAGCATAGTCCTAACCGTAACTCCTTACTTTTATACCACCACCAAAAAAAGAAAAAAAGATACTTTTTGAAGCTCTTTGTGTAGATTCATCTATCCAGAAGAGTATGAGGTTTTTTTTTTATTCTGTCGGTAATAGGGGAACCATTGAAAATTCTTGATAACGACCTTGCTTTAAAAAGAATGAGACTCTCAGTTCTAAATGGAAATGAGGATTGGATTCTGAAATGAGGTTTCAAAAGCTAATAAGGATTTCGAGTGAGGGAAGACTGCCTTTTCAGTGCTTTGTCTTTGCTGGGACAAGAAATAAAAAGGGAAAGAGAAGTGAAAAC